GGTGTTTTTAACATGGAATTCAGCTCTCCCCTACCATCTGTTTGTCATGTTCTGCCTTCATATTGCAGTGCACCTTATTCCAGCAGGTGCTGTACAAAGAATAAAAATAAACTTTGTGTCCAAAGTGTTTAAAGCACAGTCTGTGCTAACTCTGGACCTTCTTCCTTATTTAACTCTCACTAATCTCATGAAACACTGTTTCCAAAGACTAATAAAAGAGATTGTTGCCAGTGGTAGCACTCCTTGCAGATTTATGCTAGGAAATTTTACCAGGCTATCCTGGTACACTAGTTATGGAAGGAAATAGTTCAGCAGAACAGAATCACTGAGCATAGGGCATAATCCTACACTAAAGGAAATTGATTTTGTAACAAAAGGAATCAACGTGGATCTTTCCTGTAGCCTTTTTAGATTTTAAATCCCCATGGCCATGCACTTACCATTTCAAAAGATACTGAGATAAATTGCTGTTAAAATTTTGATTCAGGAAAATAATAGAATTAACCTATAACAATATGGAAGAGATTTTTTAAATACACTATTGACGTGATGGCTGACCTTTAGGTGTAAAATAAATATTAAAAAGGAGTACTTACTGGAAGTTGCTTGGAGTTCCAATATCTGCTTTTGTCAATCTCTTCTTTTTAGGTTTTCCTTTCTTCTTTTCTTTGGTATGTGAAATATTGTTGACTTGTGAATTATGAAATCTGCCAGTTGTAATTTCAGGATTTTTTATATCAACAGTTGCCATTGGTAGATTTGGACCTGTGAAGAGATAGTGTGAACACACTTCATTATTCTACTGAAACAAAGGGACTATCCTTTTAGCATGGTGACCATATATTCTATTTGCTTTCCAGTCTCAAATGCTACTTGCATGAACACTGTGCACTCGCATGTGCACGCACATGTAGTTTAAGAATCATGGGGCAGGCTCAAGTTAAAAATATTCACTAAACAGAAAAAAGCTTTAGATATACTTGGGGTAATGTTGTGGTCTGTTCAAGATTTGGATATTTATCCTATACCACTTTTGTACAGAAGTTTCATAAAAAGAAATCAAAACCATCAGAGTAAGAACTGTTCATAGAGTTTTCACAGAAAATAGTAATGTTTGCTTGTACACAGATATGGGTTGGATACCAGGAACACCAAACCCCATGACGAGTCAGCAGCAATGCACTACTAACTTCACAATATGGAAAACTGACCTCTGGGGCCAAGAAACCTCAGTCTAATATTAGCTCAAAGAATGATGGAGATAGGTGATGGATACCTGCTCATGAGACCCTAGAAAGTTACCAAGTTTTGTTTTTAAAATATGAAAAAATACTGTAGTTATTTTTTTAGTTGCCTGCTCTTTGGATCAATTTCTTTCTCTTCATGAGATAGCTTGCAACATGATTTACTGACCAAATACATGGTGGGAAGGATGAGGTATTCAGGGAAACTGCTAAGAGGCTGTTCCCTCCCCCTTAATTTTTGCTACTGGTTAAACTAACTGATTCAAACAGAATAGTAGAGAATGCTTAGTCACTTTCCAAATTAAACTTGCTTTGCTGTTAATGTTTGCAGTTTTGACTGGAAGCTTCTCTATGTTAGTAGATGTTACAACCAAGATGATTTAAAGACTAAAAGGCAAGTCATAAATCTCTCCCAAGAGGATGCTTCCACCATAGTCCTGTTTAGTGAATGATCTCATCTTTCCTGTAAACTTGTGGGCAAACATTTTATTACTGGTGGTAGTGCTTACTCAAGCATGCATATAAACTGCTTTGATAAATCAAGGCCTTATTTAGGACTCACCTGCTCCAAGCTGCCTTTTATACAGATAAGCATATCCAAGGTTATCATAATTTTTAAATATTTTGGAAGTGATGTTAGGCCTTATGTTTCAGAAGCAAAGCTAACGTCCATATCTGTCTCTAAAATGTGGCAATATGTACTAAGTGCATGTCTGATAGGACTGTATAGTGGCATTGCAGATAACACTTAAAACCAGTATTTAAAACTAGGTACATTAACTCTTTACCAAATCCTATCAAACTTAAAATTCATAAATATTTTTCAGTCCTAAAGTTATGAAACTTACACACACACAAATACATAATTAACAATTAGATCGTTGATTAAGATGAACTTCGATAGGAACTTACTACAGTAACTGTTTTGCCACAGATTTTATTTTTTTATTATGTGTATTTAATACAAAATAAAAGGTATTAAAAAAAAAACAAACAAAAAAAAAAAAACAAAAAAAAAAAAAAAAAAAAA